TGTTAGTTTCTATTTTACTTTCTTTTAATGTGATATAATGACTCTGACAGCAGAGCAACATAATAGACGATGATATATAAATACACTAAAACCAACTCATCAGATACAGGAGCTTGGTCAGTGGTCGAACACTTCAATCTCATGTATTGGAGACACTCCTCTCATGTCATTGCCCATGAATGCAGTGATTTCCAACCTTTTTCTTCAGGGGAACTCTTTTCTATCATTGACGACCCCTGACTATGTAACATATTTTATGGATCTTTCGTATTATATTCCATGCATAACAATTCCCAGCCCATCCAGGATTTCAAAAGAACTCCTCCCCTCCCCTCTGGTAGGTGCTACAGAGCACTGTACACCAAAACAAACACACAGGAACAGTTTCTATCCTCAGGCTATCACTAATCCCTGTACCCTGTGACTCTAATATCTACTTTACCTTAAATCTTTTTCATTGTTGAAATTCAGTTTTTGAAATATCTTTTTTAAAACATATAAACAATCATTCAAATACATCTACCCATGTTGTGCCTACTGTATATACTGGCATATCCACCTACCTCATGTACATAAAGAAACTTGCAACTAAATAGTTTTTTCAGCATTCATTGCACTCTTGTCTGCTGTCTATAAATCTTACTGTTTTTTGTTTGTATATATATATATATATGGGACTTAAAGTAATCATAGTACTATCATAGACCCTCATATTTGATATCTCTGCTTATTTTGCTTCTGTGTTTGGAATCCTGTATTTCCTTAATGCATCAAGATATTCACATTATTGACAATTTTTCAAACATGTAGAGGAACAACTTGTCCACTGTCATACTAAATTTGGCATCAATCAGAGCTTGCATTATGAATTTATGAGTTGAAGTGTCAGTGTTCTTCATGCGCTGTGCCACAATATCTGTCAGTTGAACTACTTTTGCAGTAAAATATTTTTGTATAAGAACATAGAGAATATAAAAAAACATTTTTGTGCTTTGTTTTAACTCCTGTAGGGGGATCTCAAAAACTATGGCACTTTTGGGGTTCATAGATAGATAGATAGATAGATAGATAGATAGATACTTTATTTATCCAGAGGGAAATTCAGGCATTTAATAGCAGCATACAAACGTACATTAGACATACATTAAACTATACTAACTCTAAAATTAAAATTACAGATAAATTAAACTTTTAGACTTTCCTCTAGCCTAAAACCTGCTTGTGCTGGATGCTCCAAATTATAATTTTTTTGGCTCCTCTGCCAATGCCTGAATTATTTAATTAAAAAGAAATACCTTTTTTAGAAAGGATCTTGGGCGTCCTGTGCCATTTAGACAACACACAGACGACGCTGGCCTCCATGCCTTTTCTCTCCGTCTTTCTCTTCATATTGTTTAGAAAGCACCAAATAAAAGTTAGCTCTGCACAACACTAACTACATTGTACACAAAAAGCACACTGATGTAAACCTGGTCCTATGCTGTGATTCCAGATAATTCACTGTAGAGGTGGGTGCGGTTTACACTAGCCTGCAGGAGAGAGAGAGGTGTGGGGATGGCTTATTATTTTTCCACCAAACCCAAAATGTACCTGTATTTGGCACTTGGCAGGTCTTAATTGTTGACCCAGTGCATGCTGGCAGTTTAGCTTTTATCAACAATTTGTAGGTTAAAAAGAACAAGAAAGTGTCATTCACTTAAACGCTGGAGAACAGCAGTTAACGTTATTGAATTAATCGATTTCTTTTCATTCTGTGGCAGCACCCTACAGCTCAAATCATCTCCCATGTGTATGGCAGGGAGTTTCTACTTCCTGTGCTCTCAGCAGAAGATTGCACATAACAGAGACAAATTCTGAGAAAATATTTTGTGGTGAAAAATCACATCAACATTTCTCTTCAGAAAGTGTCTGTGTTACTATGGATAATCCACAGAAAAAACTATAAACTGTTGTATAATTGGTTAGTAGACAGTTCTACTGTGGATTAACCTGAGTAAGTTTCAAGGATGACATGACACATTTTTTTAAAGTAATCTTCAATGCTGTGAGCACCACAAATGAAATTCCATTCGCCTCCATTGTATTTTTCTGGATGCAGAAAACTCAGATAAGATAAGATATTCTTTTATTTATCCCCCTTAGGAGAAATTCAGGTTGACACAGCAGCAACAGGGCAAAGTAGTGCAAAAACAGAGAACAAAGAATATCACACTAAAAATATTACTAATATTATTAATATTAGAAGTATAAACACTATGCATTGTTCAATTAGGTCATGGAGTGCAACATATAAGCAGAAAATTAAACTTGACTAAAACTACTAAACTACTAAAGTGGAAATTAAATATAAATAGTGCAAAAGGTTTGTGCGTTGTATGTAGGAGTTTTAAACAGTCTTTATCTGCGGGGGTTGGAGGTACTGGGTGCTGTGGCGTTGTGGAGTCTGATGGCTGATGGTACAAACGAGCCTCCAAACTGCTTTGAGGCTCGGGGCTGGGTCAGTCTGTAGCTGAAAGTGCTCCTGAGCTGCCTCAGCTCAGTGTAGAGAGGATGAGAGGGGTTATTCATGATGGCTTTCAGCTTCCCTCTCATCCTCTTTTCAGTCACAGCCTCCACACTGCCCAGCTCCATCCCCACCACCGAGCTGGCCTTCCTCACCAGCTTACTAAACTTGTTGGCACCCCTAGTGCCGATTCCTTAGAGAGATTCCTACATTTGTCACTCTGTGAATCAATTATAATTGTATACAATGTAAACTGTGTTTTGTAATAATGGATAGCTGGTCTTGATAGACAATGTTATCCCATAATGCAATTCCCAATGGTGATAAAGGAACTACAGATAGTTGACAGTAGTGCAAAAACAAAAAACTAAAGGAATACAATTGTTTAAAAAACGTAATGCTCAATATTTGTAAGCTAATCAAATTGAGCATAGCGTTAGTTCAGGCAGGGCACAAAGTCAGGGTTAGCTTTCAGTTACAGCTATATCATACGAGCACAGCTAGTCATAAACATACATCAGCTGATTCCTCTAAGCTTCCCATTGGATACCATACACAGTCAGCTGACAGCTCACCTGATTTCCTCAAGCATCCAATTGGCAAACATCATGCATGGCACCTTATTTAAGCTGCTTTAGCCTGCCTGCCTATCTCTGCTGCTTCCTCTACAAGCCTTTTGCACCCACCTCCACCCCAGCTCCTCCTTTTTATGTTGTTTCTAATTAATCAATGTCATTTTCTGATTGCCATTGATGCTTGTTCTGTTCTGTACCCTGGGGGGGTCTCTGCTGCCGTTCTCCTTGTCTTAAACTTTTCCATGTATGCACATGGAAGGGCAGGAGGTGTGCTCTCCCTGCCTTAAGGTTTTCCACGTAGGCACGCGGAAGGACAAGGAGGTCCCAGAACAGAGCCATACCGCCAAATGTAAAAGTCTGCTTGGGATATAAGATATTTTGACAAAGTGGTCCTGACTGAAATTTGAATATGACAAAGGACTTGAAGATTTTTATTTTTATTTTATTTTATTTCAAAACGTATTTCACATAAATTTTGTATGTGTATCATATTTATCATTATGCATTATACACATGAAACATGAAAAAAGGAAGACATTTGTAGTCAACAAAAGATTATTGAAAATGTTAAAATATAGGACATATTTTCCGGCTTTTTGACTTCCTGGTACAGCAGCTTGTTTAACTCATCAGCTGTCTGAAAAAAATACTCAAAAGTTCATCATGATGAATAGAAATAAGGATGCCACAGTATCCCCTGCTTCTGGCTTGTTTAGATCACATTTACACATCAGCAACAGTTACATCAACATATTCATTCCTTATTCACTTAATCATATTGGAGAAAAAACATGTTTTGCATGTACCTATTTTAAATAAAACATGAACAATATAGATAGCATATTTATTTCACATGGCCTTTGTACTTTGACAGAATCATCATCTTTAGTTATTGTGGACAGGGCTAAGAAAAACCTTAAAAATCCTCAAAAAACTAAATACAAAACACAATAAGGATACATTTTAAGTCAGAGGTAACAAAACTCTATTTAACTTCTTTGTAACTTGTTCAACACATCATTGTCTATCTAAAAGAATCAAATAATGACTTAATCATAAACATGTGAAAGGATTCTTCAGTATTTGTGCACGTATACATTTCAGCTAATGCTGATCTATTTACTCTTCAAGCAGACATCATTACTAATAAAGTTTTAGGTTACATTTTGCAAGAAATGTTGAGAAATAAAACTATAAAAATGTAAATAGTGAAACATAACAAAACATGATCTCATCACATGGTCTTTCTACTTAATAGGCCTACATCATCATAACTTTTGTGCACACTACTCTACATGATAAAAATATTAATAAAAAAAATAATGAAATCAGGAAAATTGGTAAAGTCTGAACAACTGTTTCATTCTTTTCAATTTCTTTGTTTTTATGTTCAACTTATAATCATCTGTGTAAAAAAAACTGTCAGCATCAAAAGTGATTTATCACTAGTTGTTATTCACTCACTGCTATCAAATACACAACATTTGTTTTACAATTAACAATTAGAAACTGTGAAGCAATGAATGAACTGTGCTGACATATCCATTACAAAACATTGTTCCCACATGGTCGTTGTAGTAAATCCTCATTATCACTGTCATCACCATTATTGTGCATCTTAATTATAATGCACGTAGCCGTATAACAATATGAACTAAGAACAATTAAAGCAAGTAGTTGCAATCAACAAACAAAAATGACAAATACTAAATAAAATATCTACTTTAAATGTATAATTGTGCACACAAAATGCAAATAGAAATATTACTTCTTGAAAAGAAAAGAAAACTCCTTAAAATAATCTACACATCATCATTTTCTTTATCATTATCAGTACAAGCACAGCCATCATCATGCATGAGGACCTATATGAAATTATTAAACTTGTGCTGATTTGTTAAAAGAAGTGAAGTTTTCCCGCAGTGTGAGGGATAATGACATGAGTTTAGTCAGCCATGACGTGTGTATATAAGTTCAGGTTGCAGTATAATAGTTACTGAACAGCTGTGTGTTGTGTTTGCTGCCACAGAAAAATACATAAAAAGTCCCTGTTTATGTCAAATTAACGTTCCTACAGTGACTGCTTGTACTGTTCACAGCTAAGTTGTTCTGGTGAATGGCTTAAAGTATTCTGTCACCATATTCTTTTGGTCTTCTTCAGATTCTACATCTAAGATTCTTGCATGTTTAGATACTTGTGGAAAGATATTTGTCAGGACTGTATATTGTTCATTTTATGTTATAGGCATCTTTTAACCCTTTCAGTGCTTGTTCCTTTGTGATTCTCCTCCAGGCCTTTGGAACATCAGCTGGATTGGCTTTGTATTCTTGAGCAAATCTGTCATTGTATTGTACCAGGACATACTTCCAGTAGTCAGATGCCTCTATGGTGGGGTCAGGAGGAATGTGCCAGTCTGGATAGTATGTGGTGTACTCCTTATAAGGATGCCACTCCCCCTTTAGTGTCTGTGTTACTGAATTTACGTTCAGTTTGCACCTGAGTTGTACACAGTGTTTCATTTAGCTTCTGAGTTTCTATGTACATAACCATACCAAGACCTTGTGGGCGATGAATGGCTGCATGATGTTTCTTGTGGTCTTTGCCTTCAGCCTCACAAGGAACTTTACAAAATGGACACCGACGTCCACAGCCAAACACCCTCTTGAAAAGTTCATCTTGTGGTTTGATAGGAAGTTTGTTCAGAGTCTCAGTGATGTTTTCAGAGTTGGAGAATTCCTCCTGTAACTGTTTATTCAGTTCACTCAATGATTTATTGAGGCTCTGTGTAAATGGATGGAGAGTGCTTTGGATTTGAAACAGGGTGGTTTTTTCAGCCTCCACTGAAATTGAGATGTCTTTGATCAAATATCTGCTCATGTTGTTGATGAGTTCTGTGATGCTTTCCTTGTTATCTGGCAGCAGAACACCATCTTTTCCTTTTGTGGCCCGTTCTATTGCTTCTGTTATTTTGTGAACGATGACCTCCAGATTCGTATTTTTCAGTTTGCACAAAGTTTTGTCCTCTGACATTTTTTGCAGGATGTGCTGAAATATCCAATCCCTAATATATATTTCGTACTTAGAAATGTACCTGAAAAATGTGTCAAAGTCTTCCTTTTGCAGCAACTCTTTCTGAATGTTGTACTGGAAAAAGGAGCGGGAACTGTACTCTGCTGAATGGCAACTTGTCAGAATTTTATCCACAATGTCTATTCCAAGAGATCTACTGATGTACTCTTCAACAGCAGGTTTGATACAAAACTTGACAAAATCAGTTGCTTTGCGTTGGCAATCGTCTCTCTGTTTGTATAAATCAAGAAAATCTAACCAGTACTGAGGTTTGTACTTCTCTAGCTGAATTTTCGGATCCCTATCCGACCAGAATTTTCTGTGCATTTCAAGGAACTCTTTTGAGGCAATGCCACAAATGTGAAGCTTCAGGTCAATCTCAAACTGGGGTGTGCAACACTTGCAGCATTTAAGGGATTCGTCTACTTTTTCCAGAAGCTCCTTTGTAAAATAATCATTGTAATCTGTGTCTTTATTTGCAGTATCTGTTACAAAACATTTGCATGACTGAATTACATTTTCTGCAAAATTCTGAAAGTCTTTCATTATATCTTTTTTCAAGTTCCCATCTGTAATGTCATCAGTGTTTATTGTCGTATCTATATGTTCAGGTTTTGCCTCAAATGGACACTTCCCAATGTCATTTAGGTCCCCAATGTTATGTAAATCCTCATTGACATTATGATTGAGGAAATTCTTTTTCAATTGATTGAGGACGCTGCCAGATATATCTATTTCTTTCAGGCCAGACACATTTACAGTGACTTCTGTCCACATCTTTTCAAACTCATGTTCCAACTGTTTGTCAGAAAGTCCACCTTTTTTGAAGTCACTAACAAGTTTCATAACTTGTTCTTCAATGATTTCTCTGTTTTTTCTTTGAATGTCCTCAGCCTCTTTAGTACTTTTTCGTAGGTCAAGTGCACAATCCAATTTATTGTTTACTGAACGTTGGATTTCTTTTGCAAGACTGTTGATACTGTTGAAAAATTCAGCTCTGTACTTCTCTATCAGATTCACATGTCGGTCCCTCTTTTTGTAGTATTGATTTAGTTTCGAGTTCATTATTATTTGTTGGTCTACTATTTTGTGGGACACCTGTTCTTTTAATTCAATCAGTTCATTCAAATGGTGAAGCTCTGAGGTGTTAACAGAATTTAACAGTTCCAATTCTGCTTCTCCCTGCCAAGCAAGAATCTCTTTTTTGAACTCCCATTCCCACTGACTGAACTCTTTGCAAAGGTTGTCGTACGCCTGAGCCACAGCAGTGTTTCTGAAACTAAAGATGAAGTTCTCATATTTAACTGCTTTCCAGAGACTTCTCAAAGATTGCAGAAACTCTGGGATCTGTGAAACATTATCACTTCTGTCACTTGTCACCATCTCCAAAAGATTTTTCTTGAAATCTGCAACAGCTTCACTGTAACCTGTGTTCACTGGTGCCATTGGTGGGGTCCCATGCCAGAGTCCTGGGATGTTCCAGTTGTTTTTTTCTATGTCATAGTCCAGCACATCTGTGAATGCCTGTATGGAAGTCTGCTTTTCCATTTCAGCTGCAATTTGTGTCATTTCATTGAGTTGGTCCAAGAGATGTTTTCTTTCAGCAATGGTCTTTGCATGAGCTGAAACTTCAGAAACATTCTGGTGAACAAAATGACAAACAGTTTTTTTACCGATTTTCTTCATTCTCAAGAAAGCATGAGCTGCAATTTGCAGGACATCTTTCATTTCTGTTGAGTTCTCCATTGTGACATTGATAATGGTTACATCACTTAAACCAATGACAAAGGTTGCCAACTGGTTGTCATGCTCATAACTGTTATCTAGTAGAGCCAAATGAGGAGACTTAAGACCCTCTGTGTCAATGAGAACTATAAATTCACAGTTAAGCTTACATTGCATATCCTCACCTACTTTGAGGAAGAGCATATAAGCTCCTCTTGTGCATCTGCCACTGCTGACAGGAAACTGCACACCAAACATGGTGTTGAGGAGTGTTGACTTCCCACTACTTTGAACACCCAACACAGTCAGTACCAACAGTCTGCTCTTCTCTCCAACCTTCTTGTGAAGCTCCATTAGTACATCTGTCACCCATCTCTCTGGGATGTTTGAAGCATCTCCATCCAAGAGCTCTAAAGGATATCCATCCAACAGCATTTCAGCAGCCAAAGCAGGGAGATGAGATATTTTATCAGCATCTTCACGTGACTGAAAGGAAAACTCATAGACCAATCCCAACTCTCTCATGTAATGCTCTATTCCTAATGAGCTATCCAGCAAAGCCTGATCCAACTTTGCAATCTCATTCACGTCTTTTTCCCCTTTCTTGCTGTGCTCTATCAATTTCTGACGCAGTGAAGATTGTTGAAACCGCAAATGTGCATTCAGCTTAATTTTCATCCATTTAAGGAAAAAATCTCTTTGGACATTGTCATTTTTGGATAACTGTTCAATAAAACTCTTCATAGCTGTGGATAGTTTGTTTTCACCAAGATCCTTCATAATCTGTTGTTTTTCTTCCTGTAGCTTAGATTTATATTCTTCCAATCCAACACTACCAGCATTCTTTAACCTACATTCTTCCATTTCTAACTGTGATAACCTTTTCCATTTATCTCCTTGCAAAGGAAGTTGTTGTTTCTTGTAGTCTGGTACACTTTGCACCCCAATTCCTTTCATAATCTCCTCAGCTACTTTCTTTTGGTCATCACCTGTGCATTCATCCACAAACAGACCAAGTTCAACAACTTTGTCAAGCATATTTTCAATGTTTGTTGTGGTTGTTACATCTGTCAGTGATTTCTTGATGGCTGTGCAAAGTTTCTCAGAAAACCTTACAACATTTATTCTTGGTTCTTTGATTTTCACACGGCTGTTTGATAAATCTATTTCTTTCAGTGTTTTCTTGACAGACATTGTGTCCTCAGAATTCTCTACCTTTTTGTTGATAACAAAGAACAGTTTAGATTTAACATCTTGAAGAGAAGTCAGAATCTTGTGTTCATTTTCTTCAACTTTATCCAGGAATACAAAGGTAGCAGTCGACACTTGAAAAAGAAAACTGAATTGTGTGAGTGACTCACAAATATCTCCTCGCAAATTAGCAAAGGCAACTGGCTCTGGAAATATGTCAAGATTTTCTCTGCCACAAGGAAGGTGCCAGCAAACCTCAACCAAACCATTGGCAATTTCCTTTTCATTTGCCCCTCCTTTCATATCTCTGTGTATGAACATGTTGTGATTCTGCTGCCCAAGGCTGAGAATATGATTCAAAACCTGGGACTTGGATAAACTGCAGTTTTTCAGCCTCACAAAGGAATAGAATGGTATATCTGCTTGGACAATGTTGTCTTCTTTAAACCCTTTTGATTCAGACAGATCATGTGGACGCCACTCTTTGACAATGTCTCTCAGAGCCCACAGCATCAGCGTACATTGACTGTTATTTCCATGGGGCAACAGCAGTGGGACAGAAAACTGGCACATTGACATCTTGAGGGCCATTTCCTGTTGCAAGAGGCTGTCAGCACAGAGGAAGAGTGCTACTATGAGGTCGATAGGGTTAACCTCATTATGCTCTGCAGAGTCATTTGCAGTGTAAAGGTCAAGGTCAAAAGAATCATTTTCCTCTTCATCATCATTATTTGATAACTGTGTACAGCTTCTGCATTCAGCATTGATTTTGAAGAGTTTTCTGAGAAAACACCATGGTATTTCCTCTACTGATTGAACACTTTCATCAGATAAGCTGTTTTTTTTTATTTCCAAGAGAGACCGAAGAGTAAGCTTGTTGGGATAAAATTTCTTCAGTCCAACTTTGGTGAGAAAGTTGAAAAGGACTGTCAAAGCAGGAAAAGGAAAGGAAAAGATTGCTTTTAGAAACCAACAATAGGTAGCATGTGTATGTTTGTGTGCAGGATTTTTGAGTTACATACTAAAACAATTTCTCAATCTCAATTAATGCAGTGACTTTTGTAACTCCCTTTGAAACCACTAATAATTGTTTTTACATTCCTGCTTCTGAATAAGAGGTTGTTAACAAAGTAGTGAAAAGTACTGTGTATTTACACTGACACATTTAATCAACCATTTGTAACATAATACTAATTATTTGGGTTCCAGTGTGATATTTAGTTTAGGAGGGAGTTATACATGTAAAACCGGGCAATTTTGACTTTTATACAAATACTATTTCAGTAGTTAAGTTCAGTAGTAATCTGAAAATTGCAATCACTATTATTATTATTTTGCAGACTATTAGTGTCTTATAAGGCTATTTAATTCATCAAAAACATTACACAGCTATCACACAAACACATCTTCTACTGAAGGTTGTTAACTGTTAAATAAAGTTACTGTGAATGTGACTTCTCACTTTTCACCAATTAATATGCTCTCCTAGAGCCATATCAGGACTGCATCTGCTATCACTGTTAATCGAAAGTGATTTCTTCCACTGCTTTTGTTTTGCAGAAGTGAATAATACATTTTATTATAAGTCTAGAGCCATCTGTTATTGTTCCCAGTAACTTTGTGCACACAAAGTTTTTCAGTGGATCATTTTTTAATATTGCAGGGAATAATGATGAGTGAAGAAACAGCCACAAAGCACTGAGTCGACAAAAAGCTGCAGGCAATTACTACTACTATAGTTTGTGAGAACTAGCACACCTCCAATATGCCATGAAGCTCCTTTTAATCTGTAAATCACATGTATAAAACTGATGAATGTCACCTGTGTGTAATGGAGCATTCATGAGATAACAATACCATATACAATACTATACACAGCCTTCCCCATGTGTGAGGAAGTTAATTCGTGATAATGGTAAATGGAGTAAGTAGAGAACTTTACAAGTTTGGAGATTGAAGTCCTGCATATCAACAGAGGAAAGTATCATTTTTAACAACGTCAGGTGTGGAATTAAAGGACCTGCTAGAGGCAAGGAGTGGGAAAATATAATGAGTGTTATTAGTGGCGTATCACCTGAGGGTCCTACTGTTGCTGAAATCTATCGATTATTTGATTTTAAATGCAAGGTAATTGGTAACTACAGGGGAAATCTTCAGATAGAGGAAACAATATGTGGCATAATATGTGATGTTGCATTGTCAGACATTGCAACAGAGGATGTTGCCCTGGACAGCAACCTGCATACACCTTAATGCCACGTAAGAACAAATATGTTAATATGGCTCTTGCATAAGGCCCATTGTGTGTATCCTTGAGGTCTGACTTGTGTTGCATGCTTTTCCTTTTTTCAAAAACATTTGCAAAGTCAATGTTTATAAATGTAAAAATATGTAGTGTTTTACATCCATGTTGGCTAGCAACATTTAGTGCTGCTTTGTTGGTGCATTACCACCACCAACTGTGGACAGCGGAATAGTGAGAAATATTTTTCAAATCTAACTGAGGTGAATTAAGGGTTTAGTTTGACAACCAGGACTCTGGCTTTGGGTACAATGAGGATACGGCTGGGACAGCCTCGGACAGTAGAGACGTAAAATGGTAAAGGAATGACAGGGTATTAGAGAGCGCAGAGCCAGAATATATTTACATCTATCTTGGTTAGCTGGTTAAGACACCAGTTGGTGAAGACTAAAGTGTAAAGACTAATAAAGACAGTTTGGTGAGTTTTATTCTTTTTCTGTTGGGTTTGAATGAAGTGCGTTTTAAGATTGCTTTTCAAGTCAACTCGGCTGGTCTTAATTTGGTTGTTTAATTAGGAAACATGTATTTTTAGTATCCTTTCTTGAATTTATTTTGTGTATTAAAGTTGTGAGAGCTTGAACTCACCGCTAATCTCCCAGGTGAACTACAAGGGCACATAAACATTTGGAGGTGGTTGGAACATTTTAACATAATGCCCAACCCTAAATGGATTTATGTCATCAATTATCCAAGTGGCACTTTTTGTTACCTATGTGACTCAAAGCCTAGCATTTTCAGACTTAATAAAACTAAACTATATCCTTCATAAATTGCATATGTAACAGGTACATATGTACAAATGAAGGTGTAATGAAATGGTTGAACATATAAAGGAGTGTACCTGCATGCCCTTGTCCTTCTGTGTTCAGTGTAGACATGGTCTGACTTTTTCCTTAACTCCTCTCTGCTTTCAAACCTAAAGACAACAAATAGATATAATCTTTTTAGTTTCACAGAACCAAACAGTGTATTCTTAATAATTAATTGAAGATCAGCAGCAAATAATAAAAAATTGGACTTTAGTCAATAACTGGATACAGTTAGTATGTGCAATCAAGGGTAAAGCACTTGACCAACTTTAGGTAAGTAATCACAATTTGGACGACAACTCAGATCAATTACAAAACAGTAACATTGTTAAAGCGTATAAAGTTGGCATGGTTATGGGTCAAAATCGAATGGTTCATTAAATACATGTATGAGTGTAGGTTTTTGTAAATAAAAAAGCTCAGGACTTCAATAACTGGCTTGAACTGGAGAAGGAGTTTGGGGCCAGTGTGTTTCAGAAATTGTTCTAACTGATGTGCTAATGCTCACAAAGCTCTAATTTTCATTAGCTCTAATATTTGCTGAATTTCTGGAGCATGACCTCAAATCCTCTCTTTCTTACATCCCTGAAAGCCTTCCTGCCCTGGATACCAGTTTGTTCTCTTTTTCTGTGCCCCACCATCCCTCTCTCTTATGCATGTTTTACACTAGTCCTTACTAATTGCTTTTCAACCTACCAATTCTCTCAAATCATATAACAATTTTCTTTTTTTAAACAACTTTTGGATCCTTCAGCATAGCATGATATGGAGTTTTTTCCAGCTGATACAATAACCAATAATTACCTGCTTCTCATGGCTGATATTATGATCTGGCCTATAACTTTTACATTTTGTATTTTAAAAAGAAGTGAACAACCTTCAGCTTTTATACACCTGATGGCAAGGAAGCCTAAGATTTAGTGGACTTTAAGTAAGCAAACATAGATGATTTATTATCAGTATGCAACTTACATTGACATGTTACAGAAGTCATTGCAAAATTGTTGATTGCAAAATAACACATCAGTGCACTTGGCAAACAACTTAGGCAAAAAATGTGTGTTTGTTTACAAGTATTCTAAGTGGTAGTGTACCTGCAAGCCCTTGGCTGTTCATTGTAGACATGCCCTGACTTTTCCCTCAGCTTTAAGCCTAGAGGAAAAAAAAATTTCTTTAGTCCACTGTTGTTTTCACAGAAGCAAACACTAAATTCTTGATTATTGTAGATCAGTTACAGATAATCAAATCAGATCAATCAAAACATTCCACATAAAGTATGTTTGTCATTGATTACATACAGTTAAATGCAATTTCAGTGTAAAGCACTTGACAAACTATCTGTAATTCATTGCAATATTTTTGGATGAAAATTCAGACCTGTAAAATGGTTCCAGCATAAAAAGATTCACTGAAACTTACCTGGCATGAGGTAGCAAGAGACTCTGTGGCTCTATTTCAGCTGTGGTTTATATATATATATATATGTAGAAAACGAAAGCATTTGATACAATGGATTAACAGCTTTTTATAATTTGTCCTATTCTTTTCCATCTGGGTTGGTACATGTTTTATAAGGTGTGTTAGTTTAATATGTTATTAGTGAACCAGTCCAGCTAGATATAAACACTTAAAAGCTTTTCAGTCATCCTCACGTGATTACATGATTGTATTTGCAGCATATTTACATGCAGGAATGTGTTTATGTCAATGCAGTGCCATTGCCAACACCCTTCAGAGTAATAAGCAAAACTAAAATTAGATTCTGTAATTGCCAGAAATGTTGGTTGTGGTGGTTAACAGCCATGTGGATCATTGCCACCCTCTTTTCTCGTAGACACTCTATTCATCTGTGATAAATTTCTTCTGCACTTCCTTAAAGCTGACAGGAATCCTCCTCTAACACCTGGACTGATTTGATATTCACACACTCTTCAAAAGCATTGTTAGCACACTGTTAAACGACAACATTGTGCATTGGCGTCAACTGTTGAGTAGTGATAACTTTAGTTAATGTACTTAAAGGTCCAGTCTGTAACATTTAGGTGGACCTATTGTCAGAAATGGTATATACATTTGTGGCCAAAACGCAGTCTGAAACTACAAGACTAGATGTCACTAAATCCTACACATTGGACCTTCAAGTACATTTGATTATTAGATTTGATTATTTGGTGACTCTAAATTGCCAGTAGATGTGTCAGCCCTGTGATTAACTGGTGACCTTTCCAGAGTGTACCTGGCCTCTCACCAGAGCATGTGAGCGGGGCAGGGAGCGGCAATTTTTTTAAAGGTGGAGTGGAGCCTTATCTCTCGCTCCAATTTCGCTCCGGTCGCTCATGCCCCACCCAGAATTAATCTTTGCACCTGCGCGCACACCCACACTATTTTCTTTCAAAACTATGGAGTTTAATGTGTACTTCAGAAAAGAAACTCTGAAGTCGTACAAGTGTACTATTCCTGTAAAAGTAACAGATGGGGATAATGTGGAACAAGAAAAAGAATGCGGCAACATTGTTGCAGTCGGTAAAGAGAAGTTAGATGCAGTTTATTTTTTGAGCGGAGTTTTTCACCCGGTCCGCTCCGTTTGTTTTCCATTCCCCTCAACCCTCCAAAGGATAAACAATTATGGAATAATAGAGAAAATTCAGTTTAATTCAAAATGCTTTATTCATTCATCAAGAGGCAATTTAAGGCAAGTGAATGTACAAACAGAAATACACATAAATGATCAATTGACGCATAAAATAAATAAAATATTTTTGCATTATTGTGTTATAAGTTCAAAATGCTTTATAACAACACATTTATCCTTTTGACTTTGCTGTTTCGTCATTATTTATATACTCTGTGTCTGTCAACATCCTTAACAATCATCGAATCAAATCACAGTCTCTTGGCTCTCTGTGAGCCCACCCAGTAAAAAAACATCATAAAATAAAATCATAAAGTTTGTATTTTAAAACCAACAAAGAAGTCCAATGTCTGACCTCAGCAGAAAGAGATGTAATACCATCAACCTCCAGCAGGTGACTCTGCAGTCTGGCAGTCAAAGATCTGCCTCCTCCTCAACTAGCATCTTTGAGCTTTTTAGACATGCTGAAACAATTTCCTGAAGTTTTCTGTTCATAGTATACATCAATATCTCAGCCATGAAGCCACAACTGGAGCTGAAGATACTAATACTACTACTTTACTGACTTGTTGCAAGTTTCTGTTTCTTTGAAATAATACTCCTGCAGTACAACAGATCTGGGCCTTTGGAGTAATCATGACAAGCTGAGACTTGAATCAACTCTTTCCCTCCGTCATCCTGGTTGAGAAAAAAAACAATGATATTCTGATTAATACATAACAATCTCAATGAATATTTCAACCCATATTTTCCTTGTTGTAATGGGCTGCTGTCACATGGTAACTCAGTCAGTAGTGGGATGTATCTGCTGTGTTAACAGAATGACTTATAACAGTGTTAAACTCTCACTCACAGCATTGGTAAAGCCTGTTGACACGGGCGATGTCATTGGCGCTCATCTGTGTGGCGCGTCCGAAGGAGAGGTTAGGGTTGCCCTTGGCAACGATGGTTGGCTTGTTGTTTTTGGTGAAGGCGTACCTTTAGGAGGACACAGACATTTTTGGTATATAGAGCTGCACACACACAAACACATCTGGCTCAGTTCTCACAATTAAAGCTTTGTTTATGATTGAGCAACAAATGAGGGAGCTCTTCAGTAACAAAGACTCTTGTTAGTTCTTCTTTACTTTCTTTTAATGTGATATAATGACTTACAGCAGAGCAACATAATAGACGATGATATATTAATACATCATCAATCTCTCTCCCAAGCCATCAAATACGGCAGCTTGGTCAGTGGTCCTACACTTCAAACTCCTCTAATGATGACACATTGTCCTCTAGTGTCATTGCTGAATTCTCCCCATGAACGCAGTGGTTCCCAACCTTGTTCTTTAAAGTTCATTCAATGATAGAAAAAGGAACCCTTTTTTATCACTGAATGGACTGACAACCTCTGACTATGTTTCATATTTTATGTATATTTCACATTATATTAGCATCACAGTATAACTTTACTAAACTTTACATAAACTAAACTTTACTTATAAACTTTAACACGTTTAAAATGTGTTGCATGTTTTTCCAATGAAACTGCAGGAGAAAGTGAAAATTTCGATAATAGTTTTGCCTTTATTAAATCTCACAGTTCTGAGGGTCAAAGTGTGACTCCTGATTCTGTTTTGACTTTTCTAATGCAGGACGAGTCTGTTGATCAGACAGTGAAGGCTCTAGCAGCTTGTGTTCAGGTCTCCACCCTGCCCATATCCTGTGAGATGTTTTTAAATTTCATATGTGAAATAAATCTCTAAACCTTATTAAATATAACACCTCATTTAGGTTTCTTTACAGAAACTAAATCCTTTTTTTTTTTTTTAAGTTTTCTTACACCTCTTATAAATAAGAAGGCCTCACAGCACCCTGCAAAGCTTTGGTGGACACCATGGTTGGGAACCAGTGATCTAGTGTAATGTTTAGTGTACGGTCGAAGTCAGGTGACCTAAACTGAGTCTGGGTAACTTTTAA